AGAGCATTAAAGTTTAACACATGACCCGACTAACCATGTCAAATGGTTCAATAATTTAATTAGCTAGGTCATCATACGCAAGTATTTTGGTAGGGATGCAAACAGATCAGATTAGATTTGAATTAAGGTATATTCAAATCTTATCTTATCCAAAGATTCGACTGGATCTCATAAATATCGATTTGATTCCAAATCCGATCAAGATGTTAGATATTCGAATCTGATACGATCCAATTTAATTTTTTAAAAAGTAATAAATTATTAAAAGAAAAAGAAAAATATAACAATTGAAATAAAAAACAAAAAATATAAGAATTCTTTTAACTATTTCCATCATATAAAAAGTTTACAAAAATGCAATATAAATAACATATTTATAAATAAATAATAAATAACATATATATTATATATTATATATAAATAATATATATACTATATATATATATAATTGATTTGACCACAATATTAAAAACCAATGTTCAAACAATATATTGGAATTGTATTTCCTCTTGGTAAATAAATAATTTTTATTATCTCATAAATTAAATAATAAAAATAAAAATATAGAACTTTTTATAAATTTTATAAAAAAATTTGAACATACATTAATATTATATATTCTTCATATTAAACAAAAATATGTTTGAAAAAAATGAGAATTATTGTTAGTAAAGATAAAAATGGTTAAAATACAAAAAAAAATAATGTTTTAATCATAATCTATTTTCCTAGTTAAATAAGGTCCTTTGGTTACTGATTATTATCATCATCATCACTTGGTACTACCACGTGCAAAAATAAATACAGAAATAAGAATTACTTTTATTAATGATGAAAATGTAATACGTGATTTAAAATCAGCAGAAAAATAAAAAAAATGGTTTTTCCATCCAAGTGGTGGGTAAGTGGTTCAACTATCCATGTCAAATGGATCAACACATGATGTTATTATTAAATAATAAAATAAATAAAATTCTAGAAAATGTAAAAATGTGTAGATAATTTTGGGTTCATTCTGTAATATTATATACTAATCATATAAAAAAGTGTGATTAATGAGAATTATTTTCATTAATGATAGAAATGGGATAAAAATTAGGATAAAAAATAAAGAGCATCAACGTCTAACACATGACCCCACTAACCATGTCAAATGGTTCAATGATTTAATTAGCTAGGTCATTATAGGCAAGTGGTTTGGTAGGGATGCAAATAGATTGAATCGGATTTGAATCGGGGTATATATATTTGAATTCGATTCGATCCAAAGATCTGATCAGATCTCATAAATATTGATTCAAATCTGAATCTGAACAATATGTTGTATATATGAATCTAATACGACCCAATTTAATTTAAAAAATAATAAATTATTAAAAGGAAAAGAAAATATAGTAATTAAAACAAAGAAAAACAAAAAATATAAGTAGTTTATCAACTATTTTCATCATATAAGAAGTTTATAAAAATGCAATATAAATAATATATTTATAATAAATAACATATATATTTTATATAAACGATATATATATATATATAATTGATTTGACCACAATATTAAAAACCAATATTCAAACAATATATTAGAATTGCATTTCCTCTTGATAAATAAGTAATTTTTATTATATCATAAATTAAATAATAAAAAATAAAAATATAGATTTTTTTATAAATTTTATAGAAAAATTTGAACATGCATTAATATTATATATTTTTCATATTAAACAAAAATATGTTTAAAAAATAAGAATTATTGTTAGTAAAGATAGAAATGGCTAAAATAAAAATAAAAAAATGAATCAATGTCTTAATCATAGTCTATTTGGTTGTTGACTATCATCATCATCATCATTTGATATTTCCACGTGCAACGTGCGTACACCTTTACTAGTTGATGTAAAACTTGATATGCATGAGTTTTATATCGATTTTCGGTATTCAATTACACTCCATCCAAATGGATACAAAACTAAACCGGAGTATAAAATAATAATTTTACACTGCAAACAAATGCAACCTTAATTTCAAATATTGACGAATCAAATTTGAATCTACCTATACAATAAAGTCTTTATTTGTCTGAAGTTTACCCCAAATAATAAAATGTTAGTCATATTTTCCTCAATACCGAAAGATACAAAATATGGTGTGACCATATCAAATTAAATCACCCTTATTAAGATATCAAATTAAATCATCAATGGTGTGGTCATATCAAAACACACACACACACACATAATAAAATAGAATGATGTCACATCATGGCCTAAGCTTTCTCCATTACTACCCCAACGGAGAACTCTTAGCCCCTCTCATTTTAGCCTTCCTTGCTCCCTCATGAAGCCACCTCATCACTCCCTTCTCCCTCTCTCATGATCACACCTCATCATGCCTGGCCCACCCCCTCTTTCCTCTATGTTTTTCCCGTTGGATATCCTTCATAAAACTATTCCTAAAATCTCTTTCTACCAAATTCTAATCTAATTTAGCCAAGTGGCACCACTATCCCCCACTTTCTCCTAAATTTTTTATAATTCTTATTTATCTCTTAAATTATCTCTAATTTAATAGAGTTTCTCTCCTAAATTATCTATAGTTCCTATTTATCCTCTCGCCCACATTTCATCTATATCTATCAAAAGAAAGTTTGAATTAAAAATTTTAAAAATTATAATAAAATTATGTAATAACTTTAAAATATTTATTAAAAACACAAAAAATATCATAGATTTAATAATATAAATATTATTAGTAATTTTATACTTTTATGAATTTTATAATGAAATTGTGTACTAACAATATAAATTATTCAATTTAAATATTACTCAAATAATAAAATTTAAAATTAAAAAGTAGTATTTAAAATTTTCAATAACTAAATATTATAAATAACAAAATATTAAAAATATTATATATAAAAATATTTAATAGTATCTAATAACTTTAAAATAAATAAAATTTAAATAATGAAAAATATTAAATAACAAAATTATGGAATAAACTTAAAAAATTTATTAGAAGTAGAAAATCATTATAATAGATTTATAATATTTGAATTAATAATGAATTTATGTTATACAAAATTAATAACAAAATTATGTAATAGTAGTATAACTTATAATTTTATGGATTATGAAATTCAATAAATAAGCAATATTGAAATAACTAAATAGTGATATTATTTAAATAGATGAATAAGTGATAAGTAATATTTTTTTTGCCGATTTGCAAATGGAAAAACCAAAATTCACTTGACCTGGTTAGGTTGGGAAATTGTTGAACCAGAATCAACTAGAAATGCTAGAAAATCAACCAACTCGTGTCGTGTTGGTTAGTCTCAACAGTTTGATGAACAACCTAGCTTAAATTAATTATTATTATTTTTGTATTGTAAAAAAATATTAAAAGTAGTATATAAAATATAACTAATTATTAATTATTTAAAAGGTCAAAATATAAAACAATTGTCTACTCATATGTGCTTTTATTGTTCAGCTTTTGCTTAACAAAGCTTGTACATCGCACGGGTCCCTAGTAGGTGCAACTTGAGTGGGTTGGGTCGGGTTGAGGGTCAATCCAATCCTAAGCCTCAAACCTCAAGCTCAAGCTTGGTCCAATTCAAGGTTAAGCTTGACTTTACCATTTTTTCAACCTAGGCCCAACTCAACCTTAACTAAGCATCTCGGGCTTAAGGATGTCAATTTCTACCCTACCTGGTGGGTGTCCACCCCTACCCACTTTGACGAGGTAGGTTTTTTTTGTTTGAAGGATGGGTTTTGGGGCAAGTCGGGTTTTGGGATTCTACAAGCCATATGTTACTGGTAGGGTATGGTATTAAGCTAAACCTGACCCCCTCAACTTGCATATTGTCAAAAAGCATATAAACTTTATGTACTAGGTGTTGAATTTAATAATATTTTGAATTAGATGTAAGGGATAATTTATGGTTTATGTATTCTTTTACATCTTAATCAAATAATTGAGAATTTTGTTGTTTTTTATGTTATTTTACTTATTTATTGCTTTTGTATAACAAAAAATAATAAGAAATTAGATGCGAATTTTAAACCCAACCCACCCTTACCTTTGAATACGGGGAGGGTTTTGCATTTTTATGTTCAAGGAGGGTTTGGATTCTCAAAATCCAACCTGCTAGGCGAGTAAAATCTAGAATTTTCAAAACTCTCATTGAACCCACTCTATTGCCATCTCTACTTGAGCTAGGTTTGGACTTGGGCAGATTGAGCTTTGTAGCTCAATTTTCCGATAGAATAAGTTGATAATATACATCATAAAATGTTGGACAAATTTAAATTACATCGAATCAATACCAAGGCCTCAAGCTAAGCCCAATCCCAATCTGAGTTTAGTTTATGCCCGAGTTTTTTTCTTCTCAAGCTCATCTTAAAGTTAAAAACTCAAATCAATTTGTGCAAAAACTTTAACTGAATTGGATACACCCAACTTGCACCCCTAGCTTTATTGCTTGAAACTGATGGTGGGTACCGTTGGTTCTGAATTATTGATGCTCAGACATCAGACATTTGATGGTGGGTACCGTTGTCCTCAGTCCTCAGGCCAAGCTTTGGTCGCTTCACATATCAAACACGTGGCGTTTTTCTATCTCTCTTTTGTTGGTCCACGTATGCTAATATCACTCACTTCACATGGTCTTATCTTAGTATTGGCTGTGTTGCCGTTCAAATTTTCGGTTTTTTTTTTATGCCAATTGAACGAGCGAAAGTACATAATGCTAGGTAGGCCCCAACCTACCTACTCGGTCATCTGATTAGTACAATCCAACGGAACGTGGTCAAATCTAAGGAGCACATGCTCCCGATTCTTGAGAGACGAGCTGCCCTTGCCGCATGGCGCACGTCTCTCCTCAACGCGTCTCTTCTCCCACACTCGTATTTATTTACCAGAAGTCAGAAAGTCAAAGTGGCATGCTTGTAATACTCAGGCAAGAGCAGTGGTACTTCTGAACCATCAGCCATTGTTCTTACAAAGCTCGATTGCCACCTAAGCAACATCGTCGAGCTGGAAGGAAAATGTTAAGAACCGATGAACGTTGAACAGGAAATGCTTTTCATCAGGCTTGAAGTTGAAGCTCGTTAGCTCAAGTTGAGGTTTCTCTGTTCTCAAGCATGTCCATTTGCGAAACGGACACGCGGGTAAATTCAATTGAAGTCAACTTGGTAAAGTCGTTTTTGTTTGCGATCTAATATTTCTAATCTGACACGAATGTCGCCATTATGATCTTTGCAGGATTTTCTTTCTTTGATTTCGGTTCATTTTTTAGTATTTTCTTTTAAATTCTTTACTGGTGTAGTTTCGTTTCTTTTGTTGCTGTAAGTTTGAAGTTTTATGATTGCAGAAAGAATAATATGTTTTTGTAGTAAATGATTTTTCTTTTTGCTTGCACAAGAAGATTGGAAGTTGATTTTGTTCGAATTGACTCTCTCTTCTTCTACTTCTGTTGTTAGACCTTTTAGTTTCTCGGGTAAATAGTGATAAGAGGATTTGATGGTTAGGGTTTATTGCATGTTTAGATCTCCTGAATCAGTTTTCTCGGAATGTGGTGGTTTAGGTCCTGGTTATTAGATTGAGGACTTGTCTTTTGAAATCACACTCTTATTGTTCAATCTTTTCCTGTATGATACTCGGATCATTCTGTTCCAAACTTGCATGCCGTTTTCCTTGCTTATTTTGGCTAAATTCGACGACACTAGTAAATTTTTTTTTTCTTTATTTCGATTTTTGGTAGCCATTTTCTGTCACTCGTTCTCTCTTTCTTTTTTTTCCCTTTTTTCTTTCCCGGGGTGAGTGTTAATTGAAATGTATCGCATATAAGGTTAAGGATTATGATATTAATGATAATGATTTGAAGGTGCATTCTGAGTTTTATCAAGTAGGTACGAAAATATCGGTGTGAAGCTTTAATTCTATGATTCTGGGCCCGTTCTAGAGGGCTGAAGTTTTGACTGAGCTGGTTTAATTGAGCTGCTTTGGAGAAGCCACTAAAAAAGCTTGAGCGGAAAGCCACATTTTTTGGCTGTAACATAACTATTTTGTGGTCCGTTTAGGTTGGTTCAGCTGCTTTGAAGCGCTCGTTGGGTGGAGTGTGTCAAGGAGTTGTTTTGTACTATGGGTTATGGGGCAAGGTGGTATATTATTTTCCCTTTGATACTGGTTGATTGATAAAATTGGGAGGTGGCCGGCTGGCCCCCCCTCCACTTGAGTAAAGTTTGTGGTTAAAAAAAAAAAGGGAAATTCCCGATTAATACCCTGTACTTTGGGTCTAGTGTCACTTTGGTCCCCAAACTTTAAAATGTGACAATTCAGTACCCGAACTTTCAAAATGTGGCAATCCAGTACCTGGCATTAACTAACTGTTAATCAGCCGTTAAGTGGCATTTTAAAAAGACACAAATGCCCTTTTGAGTGTCATCTAATTTTCTTTATCAACTATCCAAACATTGTCAAAAAAATTAATAGTCCCAAATCCTTGCCTCTTCTATTCAAGAAAGTTGGAGCCATCTGAATGCCCACTCAAACTTAACCCCAACTTTCTTGAATGGAAGAAGCAAGGATTTGGAACTGTTAATTTTTTGCCAACGTTTAGATGGTTGATAAAGAAAATTAAATGACACTTGAAGGGCATTTGTGTCATTTTCAAATGTCAACGGTAGGTTAACTGCTGATTAATGACAGGTACTGGATTGTCACATTTTGAAAGTTCGGGTACTGAATTGTCGCATTTTAAAGTTTGGGGACCAAAGTGGCACAAAGTACAGGGTGCTATCGGGAATTTTCCCAAAAAAAAAAAAAGAAAAAAAGAGGTTGAAGCTGACTGCCCTTCGTGTAACTGTTTCACAGCTGATTTGGGCTCTCCAGATTTTTCACCAAACATAGCTTATAGGCTGTCCACGTGCGACCCACCTCAGTAATCCAGAAGCCACTGCACTTCATCCCTCCAAAATGGGCACTTGGGCTTTCATGATTTTCACCTAATATTGATTATTGGCTGTCCAGGTGGGGTCCACCTTGTAAAGCCAGAAGCTGCTACATGAAAGCCCTCCCAAATGCACATTCTGTCATTTTCCACATTTTTAGTTGTCAAGGTACTCTAATCAGAAGATTTAAATCTTTCGAAGTTCAATTCATATTCAGAGTGACACATTTCTTCTTCAAATACTTTATGGTAGGTTTTATGTAGACAATTAGCTATTTTATTAGATAATTTTTTATGCTTGCATGGCATGTGTTCATAGTTTTTGATGTTCCAAATATATTGTATGTCCATACTCCATAGCTGCAGCAGCCTTTTGGTTCAAAAAGACAAGGGAATTTAATTTGTTAATGGAAGATATTATTCCTTGTATTGACCTGTTTTAACATGTATTTCCTCTCTACAAATAGCTTATACTTGTATGTTCTTTGTTGTACATTATTGGCTTATCTATTTTTCTTTATACACCTCTCTCGAGTTATGGCATGTCAATAGCAGTGAATTATCCCCCAAACATGTAATTTCAAGACTTTTATCTACTAGACATAGATTTGTCCTTTTCTGTCCAATAAGATGTGGTGTGTTTCTTTGCTTTTCCTAGGAATCTGTATCACTAGAAGACTTTCTGTATTTTGGTATTCTATTGGATGGAAAGGTTGATTTTCTTGAAGTTGAATTTACTCTACTTCACTACATTTAGTTGTCTCTGCCTGTTTTAATAAATGTGAATGTCTAGGTTCTCTGCATGTTGTGGTCTCTTAACCTTATTGCTCTATATGCTTTGTCCTCCCTAGATCAGTTCTAATTATTGAATGAAGCAAATTCTAAATTTTATGGTTGAACTTAGAAATTTGGATAATTTTGCAGGGCTAATATAATTGCTCCCAGCTGATAGTGATTTCTTTTCTACTTTGGTAACCTATGCTATTTCTATGAATATGGAGCATCTGCATCAATTACAGAAGCTATGTCAGGTTGAAACCAAAAGATTGCTTTTGGTGATGGGGATAATAGCTTTTACTATAATACTAGTTCAATCCGTTTCACTTCCATACAGAAATGTCTTATTGTCTTTATTTCCTACTAGTAGAACTCTGGGACTTGGAAAAAGTGGCCTTGCACATGATGATTCAATCCCTGAATCTGAAATGGTTCATAACTCATCCCTCCTAAATGATTCAAACTCAAATAATTCAACCATGCCTCCAGGGGTGGTGACAAATTTTGGGGCTTCCCATACGGGGGAAGAAATTAAGGATGGAAATGAAACGAAGAGAAAGGATGAAGACCATCAGAATGGACTGAAATCAGAGGACGTAGGCCCAGAGAATGCTACTGAACTATACAGGAATAAAGATCTGTCTAAAGAATCTTCATCAGTGAGAATTTTAGATTTGGATAAAAATTCAACTATGGGGGATGCTAAGGATAGAGACAACAGTTCTGCACAGGCAAAGGCTGGGGAAACACAGGATAAAGGCAATTTCACAAAATTGGATGGTAACTTTCCACTAGACAATGTTCAGAAAGAAAATAACAGTGTGGTGCCAGAGAAAATTGGAACCACAGCTCTGGGTACATCACCTCCATTTGCATTACCACCAGAAGATTCAAGTAGTGGAACTTTTCTAAGAAATTTGGATGCAAATTCAAATACTTCAATCCCATCTGTCAACTCTAATACATCTTCTGTGATCAAGCAATCAGTAGAAGCAATTCCTAATGATGAAAAATCTCAGGCATTGCTAAGTGGTCCATCAATGCCAGTTGGTAACTCTACAATCACTAATAACCCTGTAACAAACACACCAAAGAGTGATGTGCTGTCATCATCAATAATGTCTCTATCTGACATGAACCATTTATTATCTCAAAGCCGTGCTGCTTCTCAGCCCAAGGTATGTTGGTCTTGAACTTGTAAACTAATTTACTAGCAAGGGTTCAGTTTTGTACAAAGAGCTAGTTTAACCATTTTTTTTTCTTTCTAAATTTTTCTTTAGACTCTGCAGGGTTCTTCTGCACGAGATCAGGAACTTCTACTTGCAAGATCACAAATTGAGAACTCTCCTATAGTAAAGAAGGATATAGAACTTTATGCACCTCTATTTCGAAATGTTTCCAAATTTAAAATGTAAGTCTGTTCAAACATAAGGTAGATATGCCAATATTCTCTATCATATGTAATTATCCCATGCCATATTTGTTTTAACCTGTGCAAAGTTTTATTATTGGAGGAATTTGAATTCATACTGTGTACTTGCTCTGTTTCATGTGTATGCTCAACAAAGGTAAATATGTTGCATTTAGTGGTTCATTATATGCAATAAGAACACTGTTTGCAAAATTTTATAGACTTGTTTTTGGGAAACCTTCGTAGCTCACCTTTGGTCCTTGATCTTTGGCTTGAACCTGAAAATATGTAACTTACCTATTGAGTATAGGTACTAGGCTTTTGGTGTGGCTCAAGGTGCCACACTTTGTTTGACCCTCTAATTTCAGGAGTTCTTACTGATTTATTATCTTCTGATGTCATTGCATCTAGTATCCCAATATACAAAACTATCTTCTTACTTATTTTAGTCAACCTTTTTTGTACAGAACTTTCAAAATTGCCAATAGAGCTTTCATTCTTGCAGGAGTTATGAACTGATGGAACGCATGCTCAAAGTCTACATCTACAAAGAAGGAGAAAGGCCTATCTTTCATCAGCCACCACTCAAAGGAATATATGCTTCTGAAGGATGGTTTATGAAACTGATGGAGGCAAACAAACATTTTGTGGTGAAGGACCCTAGAAAAGCTCACCTGTTTTACTTACCTTTTAGTTCACGAATGCTAGAGGAGACCTTGTATGTGCCCAATTCACACAATCAAAAGAACCTGATCAAGCATTTGAAGAATTACATCGACATGATTGCTGCAAAATATCCTTTCTGGAACAGAACTGGTGGATCAGATCATTTTCTTGTTGCTTGTCATGACTGGGTATAAATAATTTCAGGCATGCTGCAGCATTTAATTCAAAGTATTGATATAGACTGTTCCTGACAAGCTGTAATTTCTCAGGCCCCATCTGAGACAAGGCAGCATATGGCTCTCTGCATCAAAGCTCTTTGCAATGCAGATGTAAGTGGAGACTTCAAAATAGGGAAGGATGTTTCTCTTCCAGAGACATATGTGCGTGTTCCAAGGGACCCTCTCAGAGATCTTGGGGGCAAGCCTCTTTCCAAGAGATCAATTCTTGCCTTCTTTGCAGGGAGCATGCATGGATATGTTCGTCCCATCCTATTGAAATATTGGGAGAACAAAGATCCTGATATGAAGATCTTTGGGCGGATGGGTCGCAGCGGAAAGAGCAAAATGAATTACATTCAACACATGAAGAGCAGCAAATACTGTATTTGTGCGAAAGGTTACGAGGTCAACAGCCCCCGGGTGGTTGAGGCTATCTTCTATGAATGCGTCCCTGTGATCATATCAGACAATTTTGTTCCTCCTTTCTTTGAGGTTCTAGACTGGGAAGCATTTTCCGTATTTGTCCTGGAGAAAGATATTCCCAATTTGAAGAATATACTGCTTTCAATCCCAGAGGAGAAGTACCGCAGGTTGCAGCTGGGGGTAAAGAAGGCGCAACGGCATTTTCTTTGGCACACAACGCCTGTCAAGTATGATATCTTTCACATGATCCTTCACTCTGTTTGGTACAATAGAGTTTTTCAGATTGGAACATGAGAACCAGGAGAGATATAAGGTATTGACGGATCACACATTTAAAGTACCTCTTCTTTCTGAAGTAGAAATTAGAAAGAGCTTAAGGCCAGAAGAGGGAGAATGGAGCAAAGAGGAATTTGGCATTCATGTCTAATCAGCCATTTCTTTTGATCATGATTCAGGATTCAGGAAGATGTGGATACAAAGCAGATATTTGATGTGAAATGTGGCATTAAAAAATACAGGAGATGGAACAATTTCTTGTAGATGATGGTCTGAGGTTGTAGTGCGTCATTTTTTTATGGATGTTGTGGTGTGCCATTAGATGGTATTTGTATATATATCACTGTAATTTAATACTTTTTTTTTTCTTTTCAGATCAACAGGAAAAAGAAAATAAGGTAACATACTTGAGACTTGAGAGGCAAAATCTATGAATGCAGCATATTCAGCTTTTATATGGCCTTGATAATTTCGGAAAAAAACTCAAACCTGGATTCAACCCGTGATAAAGTGAAACATCACAAATTATCGTGGTTTTCAAAACTGGACCGAACGGTCGGACCGAAAAATCGGGAACCGGTCAGGTGACCAGTTCCATTTTACCTCAAAACTGTTATTTTGCCAAAAACCATTGATTTGGTCTGCACTGCTGACTTGAGTGGTCGAGCCATTTGAACCGTCTAATGTTTTTGGTGGTTTTTATTTTTTAAATTTTTATTTTTTATTTTTTGTAAGAATGGACCGTCCATTTAGTTCAAATAGTCGGACCACTGACCAGTTTGTTGTCCGTTTAATTTTAAAAGCCTTGCAAATTATATTTTTAATGTTGTTGAAGTCTTAAGAGTGATTTATTTGTAAGTACATTTTTAGGAATGTGAGAAAATAAGTGTTTATAAATATTTGTTAGTGTTTGGGAGGTCTGTTGTCAAATGATAATTATAGCCCTAATTTAACATATATCCATCTATTGGTTTAATACAAAGAAAAGTAAAAAAGTAAATAAATAAACAAATGCTTATTCCACATTCACGGCAGCACAGAGAGAGGCGATGACAATGGTTCAGGTGGGGCAAATCCTGGAAAATGAACAAAAGACAGAGGATTGAATAAGCCAAGGTTTTTAAAACCTAACTGGACAACGAACTGGTCAGGGGTTCGGTTCCCAGGTCAAACGGTCCAACTGTTCAAATTGTATGAATGGCCTGTTCTGATAGAAAAATAAAAAATATAAAATATAAAAAATGGCCAAATCGTTGAATGGTTCAAATGGTAAAATGTCTGAGTCAGCAGTTTGCTGATCAAATCAACGATTTTTGGCAAAATAATCGATTCGGTCCTATTTTGAAAATCACGAAATAAGAACTTGAAAAATGCCATCCAATTCTGATTTATTTTTTAATGTAAACACTTATTCTCGACTTTTTTGTAAGTACTTACTTTTCATTATGTGGTCCCTATCACTTATTTTAAGTGTTTATATTTTTATTAAATATAAATAAGTATTTATTTTAAGTGTGCTAGAGTTAAATTCACATTTACACCCCATGTGCAGATCTGAGTGTGCATTGAGAACATCTCCCTGAACGAGATCACAACTGCGCTAAAGCGTGCCCCACTGGCACCTCACAGTACATCGAAACTGTGCATTGGGAACATCTCTGAATAACAAATATGGGAAATGTTCACAATGCATGATTTGGAGTGGGGCACCCGCAATCAAGTGTTATGTGAGGAGCAGATCCCAATTCTACCATGTAAAATTTCAAACGGAAAAGGCAACAAAGCCAAGTTCAAATCAGGCCCCCACAAGATTGTCCCTCACAACGTCCCACAGCACATCCCTATCGTGTATAGAAAACATCTCCCGATGATGATATTATCATTTCTGAGATTATCATTGGGAGATATTTCCTATACATGACAGGGATGTGCTGTGGGACGTTGTGAGGGGCAATCTTGTGAGAGGCTGATTTGGTCTCAACAAAGCCCCAAGCAGAAGCGGACTGCGGATCACATTTGTCTTGATAAAAATTTATTAAATTAAGCCAATTGATGATGGCTCAATTGGTAGGTTGTCTGATTCGTCGGAATAGAAACCTGGGATCAAATCCCGCTGCCACTAGGGGTTGAGGGGTTAAGGGAAAGGGGATGGGCTACCCCTGTTGTGTAGCCCCATTAAGCGAAAAAAAAAAATTATTAAATTAAGTGCTCAATCGGTTCTGTCTGTCGAGAGCGGCGGTTGGTCCGACCCTAACTCTGAATGAAGAAAGTTGGTGGTTCCGACTTCCGAGCAGTAACTACCAACGACCGCTGTGAAATATTTATCCAAAGCATGAATCAAATAAACAATCATTTTCTCTTCCTAATTATTAATTATGGAATTTACTAAATAAAATGACTATTTTAATTGTTTGGTAGAAGATTCCCTTTTCTTCTTCTTCTTTAATCTTTACCTGTAAGCTCAGTAAGTTCAGCTCCTACAGTCCTACTCAAGCAAACTGAAACTCTTAGGGTTTCTCAAATGCTAAATATCTTCACAAGTCCATTGAACAAGAGTTATCTTCCTGAGGTCTTGAAAGCAAGTTGAAGGACATTTTCTTCTTCCCTTGCCGTAGCTCGAGCTCTCAGTCCCATTACTGCCAAGTTGCAGATCGGTGCGGTTTGGGTTTTGTTCAGATCTCTGTGGTTTGCTGTATGTTCCTAGTTACTGAAGTTCCTACTTTCTACGATTAGTGCTCTGGTTTACTAATTTTACTTGCTATCGTCGGTTTTGCTCTACTTGCTTTCCTTTTTAGCTTTACAAGTCCTCTGTTCGAGAAGTAGTCTTCTAGGGCTCATTGCATCCTTGGGATTGTAAGGCTTCTGATATAAAATCTTCGTTTGAGGTTTTTATGTACTGATATAGACGAATAATTGTCTGTACCTGTTGTCATTCTTATGGTTCCACTCCCCGGCTGCCATTGCTTCAGTTCTTTTTCTGCATTGGAAAGGAATAGTACTTCAGTTTTTAATTCTGCTGCTGAGAAGATAAGTGAGTTTCTCTTGTACTAAATGTTACGTTCTCTGTGGAGAGTTATGTATCTTAGGTACTAGTTTGTTCATAAAACTATTATATAGTCATAATGAAGGTGGGGTTCCTCTCTTTTAGTTTTATCCTTGGGTTTTAGTCCCATCACTTTGCTTTTCATTCCTTCTCTATTCTTTGAAACAATGAAGAATTCCTTAGGTTTCTGCTAGGACAACTTTCATTAAGTGTTATTCTAAATTTCTAATTGATGTATGATTATCTTAGTTCTATTATCAGATTCTGTTGGAAATTGTGTTACTGACATGCTTACCAATAGTCTGGATTACTACTGATTTTGTTCTATTTTGGTGTATCTCTGTTCATTTCTTTTTCCCATTGTTCAGTTAAAATATGTCGAATTTGTCTTCTCCATGAGAAGAGTTCTTAAAAATTAAAACAATTGCTGGAGTTTGCTTCAGTGCTCACTTGATTTTTTTTTCTCTGGACTCACTTTATTACTCTTGTTAAATTTTCAGGGTTGCATGAAGTAGTATAAGCCTGAGATCTAAAGCAGAACAAAGATCATTGGATAGTTAGTGCATTATTAATGACATGGAGTATGTGCTTCAATTTCAAAAGCTATGCCAGTTTGAAACCAGGAGATTGCTTTTTGTCTTGGGGATAGCAACTATTATTATCTTACTGCTTCAGTCCTTGATGCTTCCCTATGGAAATGCTCTTCTGTCTAAATCTCTAGTTAGCAAGCTTACCAAATTTGGGAAAAGCAATTCTCCCCCTAAATCTGTCAAGGTTGATAACTTCCTGCTTGTTAATACTTCGAACTCTACTGGTTCATTTGAAACTCTTGAGATGGTGAAAAATACCAATCTTTCCAATGTGATAGAAGAAACTGAGCATGACAATGAAACAAATGTAGAGGCCATTGACCGGGAGGATGATTTCGTATTAGAGGACAGAGGTCCAGATAATGACTTTGAACTAGATGAGGGTATAGAGCCTGATAATGAATCTTTATTTGAGGAAGTTATAAATAAAAATTCTACATTGGATGATTTTAAAGATCCACATACTGATCCTTTGCTGGACAAATCTAGAGAATCTCAACAAAATCTTACCCATAAGCAGATTATTACACCAGATACTGATTTTTTATTTGGCAGCAGGCAGAAACCAGATACAGGTTTGACACGAGAGAAAACTGAAAGTCCAGATACTCATGCTGCATCTTCTCTCCTGACATTATCACCTGTTTCTTCAACTAGCATAACACATCTTAGTAATTTAGGTATAAGTTCCAATGAGTCCATTATATCATTAACTTTTCAATCTAACAAAACGAATGATGATCCTGCAAGGAAGAAAATGAAGTGTGAGATGCCACCAACATCTGTAACTTCAATTGCTGAGATGAACAATTTATTGATTCGTAGCCGTGCATCTCCCCGTTCGCTGGTATGTTTTTGCTACCAATGAAAGTTGGATTGATTTATGGATGATTGATTTCTTTGTAGAATGATCTTTTAATTTTTCTTGAATGTAGAAGCCACGGTGGTCTTCAGTGCATGATCAGGAACTTTTGTCCGCAAAAGAACAGATCCAGAATGCTCCTGTTGTAAGGAATGATCGTGAGCTTTATGCTCCGCTTTTTCGGAATGTATCCATGTTTAAAAGGTCTTTCTTCTACATTAGTTTTGGGGTTAAGCTTCGGATGAGTTTTAGTAATACTGGCATATTTTGTTAATGTTTTAACAAATGTAAATGGATATGCATTCTAGTAATCATGAGTAGGAAAGCTTAAAATTGTTGATGTTGCACTTGTGGAGAGCTATTTAATTTAGAACTTCTATATGGTCACATTGCAGGAGCTATGAACTGATGGAAGGCATGCTCAAAGTCTATGTCTATAGGGAAGGAAGAAAACCCATATTTCATCAGCCAATACTCAAGGGAATATATGCTTCTGAGGGATGGTTTATGAAACTAATGGAGGGAAACAGACACTTTTCTGTGAAGGATCCTAAAAAAGCTCACCTATTTTACATGCCTTTTAGCACAAGAATGCTAGAGTACACATTGTATGTGCATAATTCACACAATCGGATGAACCTAAGACAATACTTGAAAAGCTATGTTGACATGATTGCTGCAAAATATCCCTTCTGGAATAGAACTGGAGGAGCAGATCACTTTCTTGTTGCTTGCCATGATTGGGTATGCTTCTCTATGTTAAAACTTGTGCTCTATACCTTTTAATCACTACTAAGCTTGAACTTCAATGTAACAGGTTATTTGTATTATTACCTTAGAATCTATTTGTGCATGTTGTGCAGTCCTACTGATGAACTAAACTTTCTCAGGCTCCATATGAAACTAGGCACCACATGGAACGTTGCATTAAAGCCCTCTGCAATGCTGATGTCGCTGGTGGCTTCAAAATAGGGAGGGATGTATCTCTTCCAGAAACGTATGTCCGTTTTGCAAGGAATCCTCTCAGAGATGTCGGTGGAAAACCTCCTTCTGAGAGGACAATTCTTGCCTTCTTTGCTGGCAACATGCATGGGTATTTACGACCAATCCTGCTGCAGTACTGGGAGAAGGATCCAGACATGAAGATTTTTGGTCCATTGCCTCATGGTGTTGCAAGAAAAATGAACTATATCCAGCACATGAAGAGTAGCAAGTACTGTATCTGTGCCAAGGGTTACGAGGTCAATAGTCCAAGGATTGTTGAAGCCATATTCTATGAGTGTGTCCCTGTGATTATATCTGATAACTTTATACCTCCTTTTTTTGAGGTTTTAGATTGGGATGCATTCTCAGTAATCCTCCCTGAGAAAGACATACCCAATTTGAAAGACATACTCCGTTCAATACCAGAGGAGAAGTATCTTGCAATGCAGCTAGGTGTAAGGAAGGTGCAGAAACATTTTCTTTGGCACAGTAAGCCCATGAAATATGATCTTTTTTATATGACCCTCCATTCAATCTGGTTCAATAGAGTTTTTCAGTTAAAACCCAGATGAGAGCAACAAGATTAGAACATCTCAGAAATAATCCTTCTTTGTAAAGAACAGACCAAAGAAAGGGAGAAAGAAAACGAGAAGGTAATGAACAGAATGGGTGAATGCATCATTACAGGTTGGTGGTCTTCCTTGAATAACCAACCCCCCGTCCCCCCGCCCCCTTCTCTGATCATGTCTGAAAGTTAAAGTGGAAATTTGAATATTGAAAAATAATGGTGGAATGGTCTTTGAAATGCTCTTAGAACAGTTGGATGCTGTATGTAAAATGTGTTTCTTGTAGCTAGAATTTGATGGTTTTTGGGATGAAATGGTCTTTGAACAGCAAACGAGGCATTCATTTTACTTCCCATTTTTAGAAAAAAATCCCATTTTACTGCTAAAGCTCAGTTTGGGAGGAGTATAAATACATACAAAATAATACAAAATACATGTTTTTGCACTCTACATATTTGTATTTGTACTCCTTCCAAACTGAGCCTAACAAACAAATAACCTACTCCTACTTTCATTTCTCTCACGTAAACATTATATTGCTTCCAAAAAAAGAATAAAAGCTGAAATAAAAAGTAAATTAAAATTTGTACTCACCTCAATTGCACTCTATGTTCAAAGTAATGTAAATGAAATTTACATATATATATTAATTTGTGTATGTGATATTTATGTATTACATAAATAATATATATATAGTGTATATTAATATGTGCAATAAATTTCATAAATATTTTTTGTAATTTTAAATATAAACTTAGATCACATTTAAGAAATATAATTTTATTAATTTATAGGCGATCCTGGATGCTAGCCCTAGCCTGGCTCACACCCTGGGCCTAAGTTCGAGCCTGGGGTGTGGGCCTGGCCTGTTACTACCCTAAAAAAACCAGGCCAGGGCCTGGCTTGGTCATCTTTAAATAACTTAACCAAATATATATTATATTATAAAGAAGGAGGGAGGTCCAAGAGTCTTCTCAGCTGATCACCTCAATGCTCACATGGAATCATAGATTTCCCTTTTCTCTCATTTCTCACACATGTTGTTATATATTTTTAAATTCAATTATTACAAATATAAGAAATCACAACAAAACCCGAGAAAACATTATCAACTGTTACAGAACATCTCAATGACCCTCCAGTGAAATGTGAACACACGACTATTTGAAATAAAAAAAAAATGATGTGATGTGTTGAATTTATTTTAAATGGTGACGTGTTTATTTTCCATAGGGGATCGCTGAATTGTTTCTGTATAAATGCGATCTCATAAAACCCACCCATCTTTACTCTTTAATAATAATAATAATCTCTCTCTTTAGAGTGGACACGAATCAAACTTTTCTCAAACTATTCGAGTTTGACTTAAGAAAATCTCAATTTGAGCTTTGGGCCTAAATGAAACTCAGCTCGTAAAGTTTGTGAGCCTAATAGAGATTATATATATTTAATTTTTATTTGTGGATTTGTGCTCAAATTCAAGCTCAATAGGTTTTGCTCACCTTTGAGATTGAGCTGAACCAAGATTGAATTTATGAGCTTTTGAGTCAAGCTGAATTTAAACTAACAGTTTTTAGCTCGAATCAAGCTTGACCCTAAACTCGAGACCTATATTTTTTTTATTGAGCCGAGCTCAAATAGTCTAATTTTTGGCTCAGCTCAAATTCACCCGCTCAGCCTCTCTCTCCCCCAATGTCTGTAACATCTTTATTCCCCATTAAATCCTCTTAAATGTATTTGAACCCCTTTTGACTTTATCTAATAAAACAGGAATATAAATAAGATGGATTAGATTTGTTAAATCCAAGCCAAGACCACTCTAAGTATCACTTCAGCCTAGATCTAGAATGATGTCATTAACCCATATTTGCCTAACCAATTTTTTATTCAACCCCATGTATTGCATGGGTTTAATTGCCAGTATCAATACATTTTCCAGTGGCCAGTGCATTTATTTTGGTTGAAACTTGAAATTTCATTATTTCTGTAATTTTTAGATTTCATCATTTATTTCGGGATTTTGCATACACATTAGTAATAATATAAATGATGTAAATCTAAAAGGTTTTAGAAAGTATAAAAATATTAATGACATTATAATAATTTGTCATAAAAAACTCGAAATTCCAAAAGTAAAAAAAAAAAAAAAATCAAAGGTAAAATACTTGTACCTCCCTTGTCGACTTGTCGTTTCTAATAAATACTTAAACATTCCCTTGCCTATAAACGTTGTAAAGGCTTTCCCTAACCTTTGGTGTAAAATATGCTTATTAATCCCTTCCATTAATTAGTGGATGGAGAGTGAATATTTCCCAATTTACCTTTGTTTGTCTACTAAAAAAGTTAAAGTTTTTAATGTCGAAATTACCCTTCTATGATTATTTTGCCATCACGTCTGAAACCATTCCCACCTAGTTCCTATTCTCCAAGTTCCGCCCAATTCATTCTTTTCAAGGATTTTGCCAAAAACCCTATGTGCAAACAATAAAGAAAATCTAGCTGTTGAAAGGTGATTTCATGCAATATTTTAAGTTTTTTTATTTTTGTTTATATTTTTTATGCTCTTTTAGAGGCATCTTTTGTATCGTTTATTGTTTTTTCTTGCTTAGAACCAACTAATGGTGGCTCAATTGGTAGGTTCTCTGATTCATCGGAGTAGAGACCTGGGATCAAATCCCGTTGCCACTAGGGATTGGAGGGTTAAGGGAAAAGGGATGAGCTACCCCCTATTGTGTAGCCCCATGAAGAAAAAAAAAATTGTTTTTTCTTATTTTTTTATTATTTATACAACAAACACGACGAGTTAAAAGTCTAGAATAAATCGTACCTTAATTGATCTAAGGATTTAAAGCAAGAGGTATAGGCAACTTCACTATTTGTTTAATACTTAGGTCCGATCGTACATGAGTCTTTTCTTCTCCTGCACTTTATTCATCTATTTATTTTAGTGTTACAATGCTTGTATTGTAAGAGATATTGTTTTATTGGCATCAACGGTGAACACCTTTAATATATTCAGCTCAATGCTCCCCCAAACGATAGGTGTTTGATGATGGTCCCTAACCAGGGTCCATTGGCATAAAAGATTGAAACAACTTATTATAAGGATATTTCGATCAAAAAAGCAAACAGCATGGTTCATCGATAATTTCAATATTTAAAATAATTAGAGCAATAGACTTATGTTTTTATTAAAATTTTAATATACAATTAACGGAAGGGGTTAATAAGCAGATTTTACACCAAAGTATATAAGATATTTTACACCAAAGGTGAGGGGAAGTCTTTGCTCCATTTAGTGACAGCGGAGATTACCCAAAAATTAATAGGATTATAGTTGATAAAGACAATTTTGGGTCTTATTAGTAATAAAATTAATCTTTTTCAAAAAAATAACTTTTTCAAAAAAAAATAATTTTTGGAATAAAATAACTTTTTCAAAAAAATATGAAAAAAAAATAGAAACACTGTCCATATTATTCCTCCTTCAACCGATCGAATAAATCTCCCCACGTCTACCCTCTTTCTCTTTCCTCTTCTTTCTTCATCTGTTTGTTCTTCTCTGCATCTGAGTTTGGAGCAGAGCTGCTGCTTCTTCTTCTAAAATATCCGAAATCAGTCGAATTTCTGCAATATCCATTTGAAATCATAGAGATCTCCGCCTTTGCAGACGCTGTTATAGTAGCCGCAACGCAAGGTCTAGGGGTTGCCAATTTTCATTTGTGTCACCATTATTGTACTTCCAACAACTATCTCTCTGCGCTATGCGACGCTTCCTCTTATGATGCTTCCTCCCTCGCTGGCGCTCTGTCAATCTCTGCTGGATTTTCTCCCGTGGATGTCATGGCTTCGCCGACAGTCAGATCGAATTCTTACAGAACAGCTCCCCGGACACTCACTAGGCAAAAGAGACGTACGAGGAGATCTCTGACGGGGGATTCTGACAGCGGCGAGAAGGATTGGTTCTTCGGTGACAGCGATGATGGTCCGTTTGGCGGAGGCAGTGGCGGCGACAATGGTGGTAGAGGGTGGAATTTCGACAGATTCGGAGGATCCGATTGGGAGGAGTCGTCATCGTCATCGTCATCGTCATCATCTTCATCTTCTTATCCTAGGTTCGATTTCTTATGCGAGGTACTTTGTTGGATCGTTCTTTCTAATTGCATGCATTTTGCCTTCAAGAGGATGGTTAGGACTCTTGGCAGGTGGTGATGATGCACGATCTGGAAGCTCCTAGCCGGAGAATTATTTAGACGTACTCGAGTGGCGAGCTGGATTAATCTGCAAAACAATGTTTAGAGGGACCGGGGTGGAAGACCCGGTGAGGTCGCTCTGATGCTTAAGTCAGTATTCTGTGTGTTTACGAGCTAAGTATGAATGCTAAAGAGCTTGAATGTGAGTAATTGCGCGTACCTTTGCCTTGAGGATCAATGCCCTTATATAGTTGAGTAGCCGTGAACCTTACATAAAGGCTCCGGGATCCCCGGGCTGCATAGATAAGAACCGTTCCGTTTCCGATGGAGAGCAATGCGCCAATTGATAAGGTTTATCACGTTCCTCTGATTCGGATGGGGTGAGGATGAGCCCAGTTACTAGACGTTGTGATCTCGGGAGATTCGGAGTCCGTTGGTGAAGCTTTTGGAGTTGCTTACGTGGCGCTTCGGTTCTTTAGTCCCGAACTGGCACCTCAGTTCTTTGGCTCCGAACTTGCACTTCGGTCCTTTGGCCCCGAACTGAATTAAGTGCCGAGGTGTTCAAGGTCCCGAGCTCCCGAGCCGCTGGCGAGGCTCCCTTGCTAAGTTGTCACCCTACTGGCTGATCGCATCCACGTGTACCTCGATCGCTAGGTTGGGCCAAATTACCCTTCATTAATTGCCCCCCACTCCCCGTGCCAGGGGTCGCAACCCCAGTGCGGGGAGTTTACAGTCAGCGCAAGCAGGTTGGCCCAATTTCTTCTTGGCTCACCTCCCGGTTTTATGGTCGGACCAATGTAATCCATGTGGCTCAATGGAAAAACCAAGTCGCGTGTCGGGGGCGCGCGGACGCGACACGGTTTATAAACTCTGCGGACGCCAAAAATCGCGCTCAACTGAAATCTTTCCTCGAAGAGAATGCGGTCGGTTTTCACGAGAGCCGTAGGATCGCGTCGATCTGAACTGTCAATTCCCGGATATGGTGGCTATAAATAGGGGGACCCAATTCCCCTTTCCTTCGTCTTTCGAAGTGCATCCGAGAATTGAGGTCGCGCATCCATTCTTCAGCTCGTGTTTTGTATTTGGGGCAGTTCGCTTCCTCTTTCGTCTTTCGGTGAGTTCATTTGTTTCCTTTTTATTCATTATATCTGACCTTAGTATAGATAGCCTTCTAGATGGGAGCAGTGAGTCCGCTGGGGCCGAGGTGGGTACCTCGGTACAAACTGCGGAGCCTCTCTTGCTGAGGTGGGCACTTCGACACAGGATGAGGACCCCAATCTGTCCGAGGTAGACTCACCTCGGCGAGAGCGAGAAGCTTCTGGCAAATCAGCCTCCTCCTCACACCGAGGTCGCCTGCCAGACAGCTTCGGTTCGTCTATAATGACAGTGGACAGGCTCCTCTCCTTAGTTGATCGCTATAGACTTCCTACCGACCTCGTTTATAGTATCCCCTTAGGCAATTTTCCTTGGGATCACGGTCACGATGAGATCGTGGTCTTCGAGGAACAGCTCGTAGTTGGCCTTCATTTTCCACTCCATCCTTTCATAATTGAGATCGTCAAATTTTTTGACATCACCATAGACCAGCTCCACCCGAACTCCATTTGCAATATTGTAGGTACCATCTCCCTTTTTCACGACTATAACCAACCTCTTGACCTCGACATTTTTTCCTCAATCCTTTCTATCAAGAAGAATTCTGCATGTGTTCTACCCAAGCACATGCATAGTTACTACATGTCTCCTCACCCCGGATGCAAGCTGTTACACGAGCTCCCCAACAAAGTCTCGACCTAGAAGAGGCGTTACTTCGTAGTCCGTAACGCGGAAGGGTGGCCTTTTCCAACCCACTGGAGACCTGTCATCCAGGACCCCGGTGTTAGGCTGGATAAAAAAGTGTGGGAGGAAGTACGGGCTTGGGCAAAGGTAGGCTTGAAGTTCGAGAACTTCGTGACCGAAGAGAAGCTCACGCAGGCCAGCCTAAGTCCTCCCAGTAGGTTGCTAACTGTTATACTATTTTTCTTATTTTGTTTTACTTTGATGTTGCATCTGACTCTGTTCGTTGCTTTCTTGCAGTCATCATGGCCAACTTCTCTACCAACGAGCTCTTCAAAGGCATGTAGAAGGGCAAGAAGAAGAAGAGGGCCTCCAAGAAGGCCCGCATTCAAGAGGATGTTCCCACTTCGGGCGTTGGTGTCACCACCTCCAAACCCCCAGTCGAGACCGAACAACCCCCGGTAATCGACTTGGTCGAGGAGGACCAGGATAGGGCTTCCCCACGCCAATTTCCCGAGGAAACTGCATCTTCCAAGGCCCAGCAAGCTCAGGAGGCTACCCCATCGGGCAGCGATATCCAGCTCGGAGCGTCTTGAGCCCGAAGCTTGGTCTCCTCAAGAGCAAAGACGCGGTCTTCCCTGAAGAGGTTACTCAGTGGGCCGAACTACTGGCCGCTCAGCTCGGGGGAAGAGCGGCGACACACTGCATGGTGGTATGTACCCAACCTTCAATCCTTCTATACTTAGATTTTTTTCCTCGATACTTATGTCTCGTTTCTTCTCTTGTCAGGTGAACTCTTCGATCCACGCCCTGGTCTACCAGTCCGAGATGAACTTGAAATGGGCTCTCGTGGCCGAGGAGTCATCTCGCAAGGCTCACTCCGACCTGAACTTGGCTCGCAGCGAGAACAACAAATTTTTTAGGGATGCGCGAGCTTAGAAAGAATTATCAACTGTTCTTATGGTAGAGAAGGATGAGCTGAAAAAGCACGAGGCGGCCCTCAAGAGAGAAGTCCAGAACCTCGAGGAGTTGGTGAAGGAGCGGACTGACATCCCAGTTCATTCGATGGAGGAGGCGAAGATCAAGGCTGTCGAGGAGTATAAGTCTTCGGTAGAACAACGCGAGCCACTCTTCGAGACCGGAACGGCGGGCTACCGCAAAGGCTTCAAGCTCAGTAAGTGGTTTGACCTGACGTGAATTTCCTCACCTCGACCTCAATGCCATCACAACATCAAAGATCACCGAGGAGATGGCCCTCGAGGCAACTAAGGACCCTGACTTCGAGGAGGAGGAGAGCGACAACCTCCTCGGCAAAGAGACTGTGGAAGGGGAACAGGGAGGTGACGCCGCCGACTATCACATGAAGACCGATCAGCTTACCGATGCTACTACTGGGGACGAAGGGCTCCGGATTGATTGATACCTCTTGCCTCTTTTCTTGGACCCCCCGTATATAGTGGATGTCCCGAGCCTCCGAGCTCGGTTGTAGTTTGTTTTTATTTATTTTTGCCATGTACTTGAAACTTTTTGTTAATGAAGCATAGTGATTCAAAGAACCTTTTGTGTGCAACAAATTTTTCTAAGTGTTCGTTATCCCAAATTTTTTTCTAAGTGTTGGTTATCCTGAAGTGCCAAGCTAACGACCTGGACTCCAGGTAGGAATAACCCGGTATTGTTGTACACCGAGGTGGATGGACACTGTAGGGTATGTACCTGACCTATCTATGCACGGGCTACTCTCTTGCCCAAGCTGAAGAGGCGATTGGGACTTGTCGTGCCAATGCCGAGGAGGCGACTAGGACTTATTTGCCCATGTCGAAGAGGTGATTGGGACTTGTCTGCCTGTGCCAAAGAGGTGACTACGACTTATTGTAGTGCCGAGATCTGTCAGATCGGCACCGTGGCCCTTAGGCTTCTGGGAGTGACTCATAGTTCTCTCTCCAACTCGCTATCTTTTTTACCAGTTCGGTGGTCCCATGGACTTAGGGGAATTTTACCTTGGAGTCGTGGACTCATAAGTACCTTCTTAGGTTTTCGATGTTCCATGCTCGAGGTACCTGCTTCCCTTCCAAAGTCTCGAGCTCATGCGTGCCTTCCCCAAACACCCGTCTTATACGGTACGGACCTTCCCAGTTCGGTCCGAGTTTACCTACGCCGGGTTCAAGTACCATAACTTTCCGGAGAACTAGGTCGCCGACACGAAACTGCTGCTTCTTAACCCGGGCGTTATAGTACCGAGCAACTCTTTACTGGTATGTCGTAGTCTGGATGTAGGCTAGGTCTCGCACCTCCTCTACCAGGTCCAGGTTGGTACGGGGCTCGTCATCATTTGCTTCCTCATCATAGGCCTCAAGTCACAATGTGGGTACCTCGATCTCTACCGGGATCACCACCTCTGTATCATACATGAGGTTGAAGGGGGTCACCCGTCGCGGTCTTGACAGTAGTTCGGTAGGCCCAAAGGACACTAGGAAGTTCATCCACCCACAATTCCTTTGCTCGGGCTAGGCGAGCTTTCAATCCGCGAAGTATCACCCTGTTAGTTACTTCTGTTTGTCCGTTCGCTTGAAGGTGTGCTACCGAGGTGAAATTTTGCTGAATCCCCATCTCGGCACACCAGCTTTGGAACTTAATATCTTTGAACTGCTTCCCATTGTCGGATATCAGCAGCCGGGGTAGTCCGAAGTGGCATACTATGCTCCTCCAGAAGAAATTCCGTATGTTGCGAGCTGTGATGGTTACTAGGGGCTCGGCTTCCACCCACTTCGTAAAGTAATCCACTACCACAACCAAGAACCTCCTTTGCTCGGTTGCCGACGGGAAAGGATCAAGGATGTCGATTCCCCACTACGCAAAGGGCCATGGGTTGGTAAGGTACTTCAAATTGGCAGCAAGTTGATGGTGAATATTGGCATGCCTCTGACATCTATCACACTTCTTGACGAGCTCAAGTGCGTCTGCCCTAATTGTGGGCCAATAGTAGCCCTGCCTTAACACTTTCTATGCGAGGGCTCTGCCCCCTAAGTGTCCACCGCACAAGCCTTCATGGGTTTTACAAAGTACGAGCTCAACTTCTGAGGGTCACAGGCAGCACAGGTAGGGGAGCGTGAAGGATCTCCTGTACAGTCGTCTGTCTATGAGGATGTACTTGGCTGATTGACGCTCTACTCTCTGAGCTGCATTGCGTTCTACAGGTAAGGTCTCGTGGAGCAGGTAATCGGCGAGCGGGTCGATCCAGCTCGGTTCCGCTTGCAACACGTGGGCGACCTCTTTTGCCCCCCCCCCGAGAATGCTAGGCTGAGGTAGGTCCTCTATGTACACAGTTCGCATAATTGTCACTCGTGCTCGCTAGGCGTAATAAGGCGTTGGCCTTAGTGTTCTCGGACCTTGGAATTTGTCTTATGAAACAGGAGCTGAAGCTATGCAGGATCTCTTTGACTTTGGCCAAGTAAGCTGCCATAATTGGGTTGCGGGCTTCATTGTCGCCAATAACTTGGTTGATTACCACTTGTGAATCATTGCATACGATAAGATGCTTTGCTCTCATCTCCTTTGCTAAGTTCAGCCCGAAAATCAGAGCTTCATACTCTGCCTCATTGTTCGACGCCTTGAATCCGAATCGGAGAGCATACTCCAGCTTCACCTTGCTTGGGCTGTACAGTAGCAGTCCCGCACCGCTTCCTCACTGATTGGACGAGCCATCAACGTGGAGGATCCAACGCTCCTCGTCCCAAGTCAGTACTACTTTGACCGGGTTCGGTGCCGCACTGGTTGACGCCTCCGACGTGTAAGCAGGCTCGGTCAATTCAAGGGTTGGTGCGTTGAACATGCACTCTACTACGAAGTCTGTCAAGACTTGGGCTTTAATTGTTGGTCGTGGCTCGAACTAGATGTCATATTCACTTAGCTCAATGGACCACTTCGTTAATCTTCTAGATACCTCGAGCTTAAGCAAAATTTGCCTCAGGGGTCTGTTGGTGAAAACAACGATAGTGTGGGCCTAGAAGTATGGGTGTGGTTTCCGGGCTTTTACGACCAACGCGTATGCTAGTTTCCCGATCTCCGGATACCTAGTCTCTGCATCCTGCAAAACTTTAATAACATAGTAGATGGGTCGTTAGATCTGATCTACTTCTTTGATCAGTACCGAACTAACTACTTCGTCACTCGCGGAGAGGTATAGTTTTAACTCGTCCCCTTCTTCAGAGTTAAAACCGGTGCGGTACTTAGGTACCTTTTTAGCTTGTCAAAGGCAAGCTGGCACTCTTCGGTCCATTCGAAATTCTTGATCTTTTTTATTGCTTTAAAAAAGGGGAGGCATCGGTCCGTCGATTTAGACATGAAGCGGCTTAGGGCTGCTACCCGACCAGTCAACCTTTGGACTTTTTTTATTTTTCGAGGTGGCCTCATATCTAGCATTGCCTTTATTTTTTTTGGGTTGGCTTTGATGCCACGTTGATTGACTATGTAGCCTAGGAATTTACTCGAAATGACTCCGAAGACACACTTATTCAGATTTAATTTCATACTATATCTTCTTAAAATTTGAAAAACATCATTTAAATCAATTAACAAAGAGTTCAAAAACTGGGTCTTCATGACCATGTCATCAACATAACGTTCTACTTTATTGCCGATCAATGGCTCAAAAACTTTATTTACAAGGCGTTGGAATGTTGCCTCGGCGTTTTTCAATCCAAAGGGCATAACCATATAACAGTATAACTCGAGCTCAGTTACAAATGCGGTCTTGTCCTGGTCAGCAGGATCCATCCTAATCTGGTTGTAACCGGAATAGGCGACCAAAAACTTAGGAACTCGTGCCTTGAGGTCACATCCACTAGGCGGTCAATCTTGGGCAGTGGAAAACAGTCTTTCGGGCAGGCTCTGTTCAGGTTGGTGTAGTCGACACACATGTGCCACTTGCCGTTGGCTTTCTTCACCAGAACCGGGTTGGCCACCCAGCTCGGGAAATGGACTTCCCTGATGAAGTCTGCCGCGAGGAGCTTCCCAACCTCCTCATCAACTACCCTCCATCGTTCCGGGGCGAGATTGCGTTTCTTTTGTCTTACTGGTCTGACTAAAGGGTCGGCATTAAGCTTGTGAGTTATTATTTTTGGGTCAATCTCAGGCATCTCTGTTGCGAACCAAGCAAAAATATCTAAATTTTTAAGTAAAAAACTTACTAGTTGAGTTTGAAGTGGCTCGTTGATCGAGGCACCGATCTGGAGAGTTCTGGTTGGTTGGGCGTCAGAGACCAGTATGTGGGCCATTTCTTCTTTCGGGGCAACTCGCTCTTTGATGTACTCCACTGGTTGCTCGAGCTCGACGTCTTCCGCATGACCATTTCTCTTTCAGAGTGGTCACATAACATTTATGGGATTCGAGCTGGTCACCTCGCACGACCCCCACGCCGTAGTCAGTTGGAAACTTCATCGCTAAGTAGTAAGTGGACACTATCGCATGTAAAACGTCTATGATAGGCCAACCTACTATTGCATTATAGGGGGACGAAGTCGCGACCACCAGGAATGTATGCTCAAATCGTACAATGTTTGGTTACGTGTCTGCCTCCACGGGTACTGTGATTCAACCAAGAGGCCTGACCTCTTCACCGTTGAACCCTATCAAGGGTGTATCTGTCATCTTCAGGTCGCTTTACTGCAGCTGCAATTTATCGAAGGCCTGCTTGAAGAGTATGTCTGCTGAGTTGCCTGAGTCCACCAAAATGCGTTTCACCTCGAAGTTGTTGATCCTTAGCTTCACTACTAAAGCACCATCATGTGGGTATTGGATCCCGTGTGCGTCGTCCTCAGTGAAGTAGATAGGTTCTTTGAGTTGAGTTCGCTTTGGCGGGTTTTCACTTTCATTCACCAATTCGCAGACTGAAGTTCTCACAGCTGCTAATGTACATCCCGCGATGATGGACCCGTCGATGATCAAATTGATCACTCCGCGAACTGGCCTCTCCTTTGGTAGCTATCGAGGCGGCTACTCATTCTGCCTGCTAGTCTCGGGGGCATTCCTCCTTTGGTCCCCCTGACGATCCCCCTGTCGGTCTACCTGCCCTCTCTCCTCTCGTAGGATGTAATTTTTCTGGTACCTGCAACGGATAAGCTCTTCGATCTCATCGCGAAGATTCTTGCAATTTTCCGTGCTGTGTCCATGATCTCAGTGGAAATGGTAGTAGATATTCGGGTTTCTTGTTGCCGGGTCTCCCCTTAGCCTGGGTGGCCATCTGACAAAGAAGGAATCCTTAATGGCCATTAAGATCTCTCCTTGCTTAGCATTCAGAGGTGTGTAGTTTGTTCTCTCTACTGGTAAAGTCCTAGAATGCCGACCTAACTTGTGGTCGCACGAGGGGGATCTGCTACTTGACTTGCTTCTTCCCCTACTCAAGGACTTACTCTTCTTCCTTTTTTGCCTTCTATTGCTCGTCCCTTCATTCTCCCTCTTCCTCTTTTTAGCCGGTGGATTATCAGTCTTCTGGTTAATCTCCTCCTCGGTACCGATGAACTAGTCTACCAATTTAAGAAATTCGGTGATATTTTTTGGTTTGTTGGCTACCACATGCCACTTGAACTTTCTATGGGTGATTCCCTTCTTCGTTGTTGTGAGACACACCGTTGGATTGAGGTCCGATATCTGTAGGCAAGTCTCGTTGAAGCGCTTTGATGTAACTTTTGATTGACTCCCCTTCCCTCTGAACCACATTCAGGAGGCTCTCTTGTGAATTTGGGCATTTCTTGCTGGTAATGAAATGCGTAGTGAACAGCTCGGCAAACTGCACCCATCTCTTAATGGAGCCCAGTGCGAGGTTCCTATATCAGGTTCGAACTACCCCCCTGAATGTGGTGGAGAAGGCCACACACATGCAGGCTTCGTTAGCCCTGGCTAGGTGCATCTGATATTAGAAAGAATCACGTGATCATTGGGGTCGAACAACCCATCATACTTGTCCAGTGGTGGAACCTTGAAGTCTTTCAGCATTGGGGTTGCTAGGAGCTCGGGAGACAGAGGAGATGACCGGCTAAGCAAGGGAAGCACAGTCTTAATTGCCACCGAGCTCACTTCTTTCCTTTCCTTAACTCGCTTTGCTTGTTGGCTTGGCTTCGCTGGCGTACTGTTTCTAGTTGAGGAGCGACAAGTCTTGTGGCATCACCGTTGTTGCTTCTTCTTTGGCTCGGCGTTGGTGCTGCTGACCTCGGTCTAGTCTGGTATCTCGGCATTGTCACGAACATTGTCGCTAGGTGGGTCTTGGTTCTTTCTCGTCGAGTTCTCCTGGTTGTGGAGTTCGCACCGCCTATCACGAGGCACGAAAGGGACTAGCCTTGAGTTCGCGCCTCTAGCTCCGGGCTGGTTATTATCTCCCCACGATCCATTGTTCTCTTGTTGGGAGTGCCGTGGCGGGTTGGCCTTGTTAAGTTGGCTATCCTCAGGCCTATTTCTAAGGTTTCCTTGTGATACTGGGGGAGTGTGTTGACTGTCCCTCCTCCCACGAGGTGGAGTCTAACCCCTAGGAGGGACTGACACCTACAAGGTCCCCTCACCCCGATGGGGGGATTGGCGGACGTTTTGGCTGGTTTCGGGCCGGTTTTGGTTCTAGCCCTTGTGCAACCCTGGGTGTCAGGGTAAAATTGGCTGCTGGTTCGGCTGCAGTGGTGGGAACTACTGCTGATATTGCTGGTACAGGTAGTACTGCTGATATTGTTGAAACAATTGGACCTGCTGCATCTGGATTTGTATCATCCGGACGCACTGAACAAGGTCATGAAATTGGGAGTGCTCGATTCTAGGGGGACCACGGATGGCTCAGAGAAAGTCGCGCCCACTGGGGGGGAGCGGGACGCTCACTTGCGTGGTGCCCTGTGGTACAGACAATGACGGGACCACTGAAGCTGTAAGGGGAATAGTAAAATGGCCAATACATACCGTGGGGCCTTGGGGGATGGTTGATCGCTGATCTTGTCCCCCGGTGACATTCAACTCGATGCTTATCCGGTGTTGTTGGAAGAATCCATTGAGGCCGGAGCGAAAACTAGAACTGCAACTGGGATCGGGATAGCCTTTTGATCGTTTCCCATAGACAATGCCAATTAATGATGCGCGATCTGGAAGCTCCTAGCTGGAGAACTGCCTGGACGTACTCACGTGGCGAGTTGGATCAATTTGCAAAACAGTGCTCAGAGGGAGTGGGGGTGGAAGACCCGATGAGGTCGCTCCAATGCTTAAGTCAGTATTCTGTGTGTTTACGAGCTAAGTATGAATGCTAGAGAGCTTGAATGTGAGTAATCGCGTGTACCTTCGCCTTGAGGATCGATGCCCTTATATAGTTGAGTAGCTGTGAACCTTACGTAAAGACTCCGGGATCCCCAGGCTGCAGAGATAAGAACTGTTCTGTTTCCAAAGGAGAGCAATGCGCTAGTTGATAAGGTTTATCACTTTCCTCCGATTCGAACGGGGTGAGGATGAGCCCTGTTACTAGACGTCGTGGTCCCGGGAGATTCGGAGTCCGTTGGGGAAGCTTCTGGAGTCGCTTACGTGTGGCGATTCGGTTCTTTAGTCCCAAACTGGCACCTCGGTTCTTTGGCTCTGAATTGGCACTTCGTTCCTTTGGCCCTGAACTGAATTAGGTGCCAAGGTGCCTTCATGCCGAGGTGCTCAAGGTCCCAAGCTCTCGAGCTGCTGGCGAGGCTCTCTTGCTGAGTTGTCACCCTACTAGTTGATCGCATCCACGTGTACCTCGACTGCTAGGTCGGGCCAAATTACCCCTCATCAGATGGCATTGGAGATCCTTCTAGGGAGAAGGTCTCGATGAGAGTAGTTTCGGTCTGCTGAAGCGGTCAAGGTTTCGCTTCACATATTGTTAATTAGATATCGAGGAGAATGAAAATTCTTGAATTAATGTATATATGTATATATTGTTTCAAATACTATAGTTCCTATTGGGCTATTGTTTCCCTTGCATATCTTCCTGCAAAGATAGTAGTCTCGTTCTTTATTTTATATAGTCGAATTATTTGGTTTGTGAATATGGTCTTCCTTTTCTTCAATATATTGATTGTGACTTCTATGTTCTTGAGATTGATCTGTATTTTGTTCTTATATTCACCAATGCATGCAAGAATGTGCAGTAACTACTTAAGTAGGAAGAAGATAAATAATGTTTCTATCATTTTTTTTATATTTTTTATAAAAAAGTTATTCTATTCTAGAAATATTTTAAAAAAAATATTTTTATTAATAATAAGATCCAAAAGTTGCCCTTATCGAATATAATCACAAAATCAATTCCAATTAGGTTCTCAAATACACCAACTTCCAGATTTCTCCTCACAAAATCACATCTGCCCCATAGAATGTGCTCAAAAATGTCCCACAACACATCTCAACCATGTATTGAGAATATCTCTCAATAACAAGTATAGGAGGTGTTTTCAAATCTCAATGCACTTGAAATGTGCATGTGGAGCGTTTTCGGGGCACGTTCTGTGGGTGGTAGATGTGAATAGGGGTGTCAATTGGATTTGATTTGGTCCAATCCAATCCAGTCCAATGTGAGTCCATTATAAATGGACCAGGTCCAATCCAATCCAATGAATATTTTGGACCAATTTAGACTGGTCCAATTCAATGTTTGGACCACCTGTTAAAATTTATTTTGATTTAAATTGATTTCAACCCAAACCCAATCCATTGACACATACATTCTTATCTTATATCAATTTGGATAAGATATTGACTTAATCCAACCCAATCCAAAGATAAATTTGTTAGATAAGGACCAGGTCCAATCCAATCTAATAAATATTTTGAACCAGATTGATCCAATCCAATATATGTTACTGATCCGTCCAATCCGTTAAAATTGATTTTGGACTGGACGGGGTCCAATCCAAAACTCGTTCATTGACACCCTTAGATGCGAACTCTATAAACATATATTCAAGCCATACATATCCACCTACGGCGATCTGGCGAATCCTAAACCGAACGGTTGTAGCTTAATGAAGACATCCTACAACTTAGACAACCGTTCGATTTCCCAAGATGCTTGTCTGAGTACTGGAAGATTGTAAACAATAGTACAACTATGGGATGATTACAACCATTGGATCAGGATAACCCGCTTTGACCATTAGATGCGATTAAGGTTTTCGACTCTTTTTCTACGAGTTAGACACGCATCATTATCGTCTCTCGTACGATTCACGATTGACAACATGACCATTTTATCCCCGTAGCCCTCCTCCGTCTCCAAAATAGAATCAGTAAGGCTAGTAGGGCAAAAGTGGTCTTTGCAAAAGCGGGCAGAGGAGCTATCGAGCTGAGCAACACAGCAAACGCCGTTTGGTCCGTTATACGTTACGCCCCAAAAGCAGTTAAATAAGTTAAATTGAAGGTTTTCCTCTTCTTTTCATCTGAATTTTCACAAATAAATAGCTCAGATTACAGAGAGAGAGAGAGAGAGAGAGAGAGAGAGAGAGAGAGTTGATGATCCTAATGACAAGATTTAAGGAGTCGAATGATGAGAAGATAAGAGATTCATTCGACCGATAGGAGTTGACATGGCTACAAATATCAAAGGTAGTTTTGTGAAGGTTAAGCCGAATCAAGATGACTCTGTTGAGATTCCTAGGATTGTACTAAACAAGAAGGTGGGCAGTTCAAGCAAACAGATTGTGGATTCAAAGCAGAAGCCTATCTCCACAGTTTCAAAATCAGAGGTTAAGCCGAATCAAGATGACTCTGCTGGGATTCCTAGGATTGTACTTACTAACAAGGTGGGCAGTTCAAGCAAACAGATTGTGGATTCAAAGCAGAAGCCTGTCTCCACAGTTTCAAAATCAGAGGTTAAGCCGAATCAAGGTGACTCTGCTAAGATTCCTAGGATTGTACTTACTAACAAGAAGGTGGGCAGTTCAAGCAAACAGATTGTGGATTCAAAGCAGAAACCTGTCTCCACAGTTTCAAAATCAGAGGT